TCAACAATGTTAAAACAAACACAGTTACCCCTCAGTGTGTATAGGGGATTGGTTATAGACCCCTACCTGCACCAAAATTTGCACATATGCATATGCAAGTCAGCCTTTAGTATACAAAAAGTCAGCCCTCCATATATGCAGGTTTTGCATCCTGCAAATACTGTATTTTTAATCCATATTTTGTCGAATAAAATCCATGTATAAGTGAATCTATGCAGTTCAAACCCATGTTGTTCAAGGATCAATGGTAATCCAATTAGAAAGTGAGCCAAAGACTTGAGCAGACATTTCATAGAAAAGGATATACGGATGACAAGTAAGTATGTGGAAAGGTGTTCAACATCAATAGGCATTAGGGAAATGCAAATTAAGATCACTTTGAAGTAATACTACATATCTATTATGATAGTTAAAATAGCTGACCAGGTGGAGGGACTAGATCACTCACATTTTGCTGATAGGCATGTGAAATGTTACAGACACTCTGGAACATTTGGGTAGTTTATTTGAAAAGCTAAATGTCCAATTACCATACAACCCAGCAATTGTAATCTTGGATGAAAATGGTTACCCTAAAACTCATACATGGATATTCATATTGGCTTTATTCATGATTACCAAAAATTAGAGTCAGTCCAGATGTCCTTCAATAGACATTTTTTGAGATTGCCATTGCAAGATGGTAATAAAGAGTAGACCAACTTCAACTGGTTTTATTTTTATGTTTTATTTTCTACACACAGCACACCCCCTTATTGTCTTCACCCCAAGGTAGACTGTTCTTACTGCCCTGCCTTTGATGCACCACTACTAAAAGATGTTAGTGGCACCATCAAAGCCTGCAGTGACATTGCTGTCCCTCCACTAAAGCATAGGCCAGGCTTCCCGCAGAGAAACTGACTTTACAAATAGCAAATAGAGGATATTTCTGAAACCTATATTTGTAAATGTATTTTCCTCCCCTATCCAGGAGGCTTGGCCCTTCTGCCTTTTAGTCAGGGTCTTGGTCCTTGGTATTTCTTGCCATAGTGGGCGATAGACAAAGGCTCCCAACCATCTTGAGTGGAGGCAGATATTGTGGCTATGTACCTTGTACCCAAAGATTAAACTGCCATCTTGCTGGTGGCAGCCCTCCACCCCAGAGAGAGGAAATACCACTGGTGCTCTGAGGAAGGCTTTGTGCCTTTGATTTTCCATGTCATCAGCACTTAACTGTGACCCCGGACACATCAAGTGAAAAATCTTTGGTTTATTCTGGAATTAATATCTCTTGCCCAACAACATGGGTTTCTGTAAACAGAAGTAGGCATGGCGGGAGGAGGGAGGATTAGATAAAAGACATTCATTCAAGCAGGACTAGCTGCACTATGCTTATTTCTATTAAGTGGCAGTGGGAGAGACCCTCTCACCTCTGATTTCAGTTAGTGGTAGTTACTTTCATGTTAATTGAATTGATTGCAAATTGGAAGGTTTGGGTCAGTTTCATAAAATACTGTTATTTATGTAGACATTATGATGTGGCTTCAGCTAATATATATTTTTAAATTTTAGATTCAGAGGCTACATGTGTAGATTTGTTATGTGGATATATTGCATAATGGTGAGGTTTGAGCTTCCAGTGTACCCATCACCCAAATAGCAAACATTGTACCCAATAGGTAACTTTTCAACCCTTATTCTTTTCCCATTCTCCCACTAATGATTATATTTTAATCTCAGTAACCAGCAATATATCTGGCCACTCATGCATGTGCACACACATGAACGCTTTTTGCTGTAGTGCAAACCACTAAGGTGAAAGAGATAACCATGGTGGAAGAGTTGGACAGAGTGGAGAAAGAAGGGCACTATTTATGTGTTGACTGCCGTCCATGTGCCACATACTCTGCTTGGTGACTATACGTGTCTTAGCTCGTTAATCCTCATCACATGATGTATAAAGTAGTTGCTATTGTTATTCTTGTGTTACTGATGAGGAATGAGAGAAGTGAAGTGAGATGATCAGATAATGTCACTCTCCTGCTGTTTAAAATTCTAAAAAATCTACCTTCCCTGAGGATAATATCCTAACTCATCCTAGTCTCCAAGTTGTGTTTTAGCCCCTGTCAACCTCAGCAGTTTTATCTAGGCCCCTCTCCCTCTTGTAGTTGGCATTCCAGCCACACTGCTCTTTACTCAGTTCCTTTAATGTGCCATATTCTTCTTCTGTGGCACCATTACTCATGCTATTCTTTTTGTCTGGGCTGTTTTCCTGTGTGCCCACCTGCAGTCACCAGCTAACTCCTATTCATTCTTCAGGTCACAGCTTAGATTTCATGTCCTCAGTTCTCAGGGAAATATCCCCTGACTGCCACCTATACTCTATAGCGTCCCTCAGACTATGTTAGGTCACTTTGTTGTATTCCTCTATGATATTCTGTATAGCCTCCCTACCATTAATATGATTTTACATGTAACCCTGTGTTCAGGATCTACTTTCTTCATTAGATGAAACGTTGTCTATTTACTGTCCTGTTCTCTGCTCTATCCCTTGCCTAGCACATGACAAGTATTCAATAAATAATTATTGAGTGAATGTATATTGAAACCTTCTATAATTGGTACATAGTAAGGGCTCAATAAATATAGTTAAAATACAGTTGTTGTTATTATTGTCCAAAAGCAAATAGTTAATCAGAGGCAGAACCAGGATTTATACTCAAGCCTGACTCTAAAGTACAAGCTTCTTTTATGATATGACTCTGCAGAAATAGGTTCTTGACCCAGCACTGCCCTAACTGGTTGTATGAGACATTATACTACTCTGAATTTCAGTTTTCCCATCCGTAAAATGAGCATGGGAGTAGGCAAAGTTCAGATTTCTCTTCATATAACCTAGAAAAGGACAATAGAGGGTCGAGTGCGGTGGCTCACACCTGTAATCCCAGCACTTTGTGAGGCCAAGGCGGGTGGATAACCTGAGGTCAGGATGACCAGCCTGGCCAACATAGTGAAACCCTGTCTCTAAAAAAAAAAAAAAAAAAAAAAAAGAAAGCAAAGAAAAGGACAATAGAAGTCTAGATAGATGTAATTAACCAATACAAATCAGTATCATTCCTCTGCAAGATAATTGATGAGCTATAACAAGAACCCTTGATGTTTTTATGCCCTTCAGTCTGGTAACACCGTTCAAATGCAATGTAGTAGTGGATGGTATGTAGGCTTTGCTGTTGGAGAGCCCTGGGTTTAAATCCCAACATCCAATTTACTAGCTCTGTGGTACTGGACAAGTTACCACCCTGAACCTCACTCAGTTCCCTTCTCTACAAATGGGATAACACCCACTGTTTAACCCATTTCTAAGGTTAAAAATATATATATAATAACATGAAAAGATGTTTTTTAGTATAGAAAGAGAAACTTCTTCTACCATACTGCCCACCTAATAGTTCTTTCTGTAGTTCTGTGCCATTGAAGGCTACCTCTTGAGGCAAGAGGCACAGGCAATGTTGAGAAAAAGGAGACTGAAGACAAGCAGGCTGATGTCAGAGGACAGAGTCCAGTATGTGGAATTAGAGCACCCATAGGATAGACTGGGGCAGAGGGGAAGGTCACTGAGGCAGAAAAAGGAGACTCCAAATCTGAATAAGGGGATAATGGCTAAGCAGATCCTGAGAACCATGGTAGGGAGCCAGTGGGCAGACAACAACATACCATAGAGAGGACCCCTTTCAAAACTTTGTAGCCCTTTCCCATAGGCGAGCTCTAAATAGTCTTATTAAGAACCCTTGAAACTGTGCTTCTTCCAGATCTTTTTCTCATTTAGTCACATGTGTGTATACTTTGAAACTGTAATTTTAGTGTGTACACTTTTTCAGTTAGTATCTTACCTTCAACATTTTTATGTCACAAGTCATCAGTGGCTGTCAAATATTCTAATTTTGCGGAAAGCCCAGAAAGTGCATCTCTGTGAATTAACTTTTTGCTTCCTTGAATTACCTCCTTAAAATAAATTCCCAAGTATAGGATTCCTGAGCCACAGGGTGTGACTCAATTGAGATTCAATGACCAAAACCAGGTTTTTGTTTTTCTAAGAAAGAAGTGACCCACAGTATCCTTTCCCCTTCCTTTCTGAAACTGATGAACACACCCTCTAGAGTTGTGCTGTCTAATATGACAGCCACTAGCCACATGTGGCTGTTTAAATTTTAAGTTTGATTAATTACAATTACATAAAATTCAAAACAGTTTCTCAATTGCACTGGCCACATTACAAGTGCTCATTAGCCACATGTGCCTAGTGGCTACTATACTGGGCAGCACAGATACAAAACATTTCCATCACTGTGGTAAGTTTGTTAGACAGTGCTTCCCTAGAGTTTCTCAAGAGGTCATTTTTAGTATCTTGGGTGGGAGTTCTTTTTGTTTGGGACTTTTCTGTGCATTGAGAGGCTATTTAGCATCTCTGGACCATGTCCACTAAATGCCAGTAACACTTTTCCTTGAGTCAATGTAACAACCAAAACACACTCCATATTTGCAAAAATGCTCCATAAGGGAACAAATTTAACCCCATTTGACACCTACTGAGCTTTTATCTTAGAGGAAAACATCTTCTAATTCTTTCTTGAGATAAGGTCTTGCTCTGTCACCTAGGCTAGGGTGTAGTAGTTCAATTATAGCTCTAGCAAACCTCCTGCCTTAGCCTCCTGAGTAGCAGAGACTACTGGCATGTACCACCATGCCTGGTCTTTTTTTTTTGTGGAGATGAGGTCTCACTATGTTGCCCACGCTGGTTTCAAAACTCCTGGGCTCAAGTGATCCTCCTGCCTCTGTCTCCCAAACTGCCGAGATTACAGGCATGAGCCATTGTACCTGGCCCCCTTTTTTGAGGTGGCTTTGGGTTGGCTCTGCCTGGAGAGGGGAAAGCTCAGAAAGATGGCTTAGAAAGAAAGTTCTAGCTCCATTTCTATTTTCTCCCTTCTTCTGCTGGCCTGTTTTCTGCTTTTTGCAAATTGCAGGAACAAGACCCTGCAGATGGAGAAGATCAAGGCTCGTTTGAAGGCTGAATTTGAGGCACTTGAGTCAGAGGAAAGGCACCTAAAGGAATACAAGCAGGAGATGGACCTTCTGCTACAGGAGAAGATGGCCCATGTGGAGGAACTCCGACTGATCCATGCTGACATCAATGTGGTACGTGGCTGCCTGTAGCCTATCTCTAAAGCCCATGAAAAAAGGTAGTGATGAATAATAGGGCCTCTCCTTAAGATGTGGCCTTGGTCAACCTTGGGGAGCAGGAATCAGTGCAGGCTGTGGAGTGGAAAAATCCAGAAGTTCTGAGATCCAGCCCTGGCTCTGTTACTCACTGTATGTCACTGGACAAGTCCCTTCTCTCTGGGCCTCTGCACGGTAACAGGGACTCAGTACCCTGCAAGAGTACTGATTTGATGTGTTCTCATTCTGGGATTCTGCGAGTTGACAGCTAGTCTTAGGGAAAAGAAGAGCAGGCAGCTGCCTCTGGAATGTAGCTTAAAGCACTCCAAGCTTTCCATCAGCCAAACAAATCATTTCTGCCTACCTATCAAAGTGGGTCTTCTGCGTTGGTATCTCATTTGGAAACCCTTGAAACATGGAATATGAACTGTCTGCTAAGGTGGTAAACTCCCCTCTTTTGGAGTTATTCAAGCAGCATCTTAATGGTTACTTGTATGAGCTACTTTACTGATGATTCCTTCACCAGGAAAGAGGTTGGTGGTGCTGACCAGTAAGGTCCTTTCAAACCCTTATCTCATATAATAATGAGGAGTATATTTGTTAAATTTACCTTTGAAGGAAATAAGTTTGTATTTCTGGGAAACTCATTTCTGTGGCAATACTCATTTTCTGACATTGTCAGATGTAGAATCTTAAGGGAAATATGAATGAGGTTTGGACAATAGGCAATTGGGATTTTCTGTGTTAGAGACCACAGAATTCTAGATCTCATAAAGTGTTGACAGTTTTGCTGCCAGCTAACCAATAATACAGGGCCAGTTAAATGAGGCAGATATTTGACAGAAGGGCTGAGAATATAGGCCAATGGATCTCAAACTTGAGCATGCATCAGAGTCACTTTGAGAGCCTAAGACACATATTGTTGGACTCCACCCTTCATTTTCTGACTCTATAGGTCTGAGGTGGAGCCTAAGAATATGCATGTCTGAGTTCCCAGGTGAAACTGATGCTGCTGATCCCTTGGCCACATTTTGAGAAACACTGATCCAGGAGAAAGAGTGTTGGCATAGGAGGCAGAAGACCTAAGTCTTTATGCAGGCTTTGCTGCTAAGAAGTATATCCCCAGGAGAGTCCCTTATCTCTGAGCTTCAGTTTTCTTACCTGTAAAATGGTACGAAGGTGGACTAAATGAGCTCTGAAGGACATTCCAGCTCTAAGATACTATATTTGAACAACTCCTAACTACTATTTATTTAGTAGTAAATACTAAAGTTAGTACTTTTACTGAGTGCTTTATGTGAATTATATCCTTAAATCTTCACCAAGATTGCATGAGGTAAGCGCTAGATTATCACCATTATACAGATGAAGAAACTGAGGCTTGAGCAGGGTTACATAGAGAGGACATGGAAGATCAAGGACTTGAACACAGACTGAACAAGCGCTTGAGCTTGTGATATTATTCACTCAGCTATAAAACCTCTCTGAGAACTTTAGGATCTTTTCTCTATGCCTATCCCACTCTATGTTCCAGATGGAAAACACTATCAAACAGTCTGAGAATGACCTAAACAAGCTGCTAGAGTCTACACGGAGGCTGCATGATGAGTATAAGCCACTGAAGGAACATGTGGATGCCCTGCGCATGACTCTGGGCCTACAGAGGCTCCCTGACTTGTGTGAAGAAGAGGAGAAGCTTTCCTTGGAGTAAGCTACCTGCCCCTAGTCCCTACAATATACCCAACCTTTGATACACATGCATACCTACATACCTACACACACAGGCATGTATACATGCACGAAGTCTAGCCTGAAAGTCAGAGTACCTAGTTTTAGTACCAGGCTTTTCAGTGGCTGACTCATTGTGTGACCTCAGGCAAGTCTCTGTGCCAGCTTGTTAAAACAGAGGAGGATTATTAAACTAGATGAATTGCTATATGAATTAGAACAACTACTAGATGGCTTTTAAAATTCATTGTGTGATATTGACAAGACTATGTCTGTAATTCTTAAGAGATCATTTCCCAAGTTAGGGTCTAGAAGGGGGTACCTAGAAACATTTAAAAATACAAAAGACTGAGCTTTCACGGTCTTCACGGGCTAGCCTGGGACTTCATCTCCAGAAAAAGAGTTAAGAACTAGGCTTACCTTACAGAGACAGAATTTGGCTTAATAGAGGAAACCCTTTCCTAAAGGTAGAGCAAGGTGTCTGCGGAATTGGTGAGCTCCCTATTCCTAGAGGCATGTCAGCAGAGGCCTTAGGACACTTAATAGGAATACTCAAAACAGCACGGGATGGTGGATGGGGCTAAATGCCCTTTAAGGACCTTGCCAGTCCTCAGATTTCTTGGTCTTCTTGGTCTATCAGAGCTAAGGACAAAGAGAATTATCTTTCTCATCAGACATTGGGCCTAGTACCAAGGGAAATAGCCTTGTGCTTGGGAAGGTGTGGGGACCTTCTAGAATGAGCCACACACAGCTCAACCCTTGGTTATATGGCATGGAGTCTTGAAGAGGGGAAAGGTTCTCCTTGCTTTCAGAATGATCCAGCCAATGTCTCTCATCTCCAAAGTTACTTTGAGAAGCAGAAAGCAGAATGGCAGACGGAACCTCAGGAGCCCCCCATCCCTGAGTCCCTGGCCGCTGCAGCCGCTGCTGCCCAGCAGCTCCAAGTGGCTAGGAAGCAGGACACTCGGCAGACGGCCACCTTCCGACAGCAGCCCCACCTATGAAGGTGAGTGAGCTGGGTAAGGGCTGTGGAGAAAGCAAAGTATCCTCCCATGGAAGGGCCATGGAAGGCTAGGTCAGGATCTTGGCCTTATTTATGTTGGGCCTTCTTTTAATAGCCTTTGCTTGTGACACAGAGGAAGGGGTGACATGAGGGTCCTGTGTTGGACCCACAGGGTTTGTTGCCCCATGTTCCCAGAAGTGTTAGAATGCAGGGAGATTTTCAGGCCCTGCTAAAGTACAATTCTAAAAGTTAGAAATGACTCTTACACAAATATGTAATGAGCATGTATCATACATGAGGGAGCCAGCAGGATTATAAAGCTGGTTCCAGAAGCATTTGAGGAAAAGATATCTATGTAGTCAAGAAAGGAGAGGAAAGCCAAAACGAATTTGCAAAGATAGGTACAAACTGGTTTATATCCTTCAGGGCAATAAAATCTTAACCTTTATAGTTACTTTTTCTTCCAAACAGAAGTAATTCGCATCTCAACTGGGCAAAAGTCGTTGTAATATCACAGTGTCTGGGTCCTAATCAATTAGTAAATAGTCAAACAAAGAGACATTCTTCTGGAGCAGGGATCATCAAACTACAGCCTACAAGTCAAATCTTATCTGTTCCCTGCTTTTGTTAAAGTTTTCTTGGCCCACATGCATGTCTGTGTTTGCAAGCGATTGTAAGCAACATGCATGCAAGCTATTGTCTATCACTTCTTTCATGTAAAACAGAGTGGATTAATTGCAGCAAAGAATGTATGATGTAAAAAGTCTAAAGTATTTGCTCTCTTGGCCTTTACAGAAAATGTTTGTTGACCCCTATTCTAGAAAATTAAGTAGTTCTTAACTGGGCATTTTAGACAATGCTTCAGTATAATGATGAATAGATGTGTAGTTCTCATTTTGCCTTACTTTCTAGTTTTGTATACTTTTTCTCAACACCCTTCCCTGAATTTGGTTACATCCTTTGTTTCCATCTTCTATGACTCCCAGGAGTACTTGAGTCTTACTCATTGATTATTGATTCCTTCTGATGGGAAATCACTTTGCTTTCTAGGACCCTGGGAATCAGAAATCTAAGCTGTGGCCTGGAGAATCTGACCACTAACTTTCTTTTTCCTGTGCCCCCCACTAGGCCTGCTTGTCATGTCACCAGCAAATTCACCGGAATGCACCTATATGCCCTCTGTGCAAAGCCAAGAGTCGGTCCCGGAACCCCAAAAAGCCAAAACGGAAGCAGGATGAATAAAGAAAGGGAGAGCACATGAAGCTTTGCTAATTATAACCCCTCACCTTGACCACAGTGATTGATGTCCTGATGTGAAACAACCCTTGCCAAACCCTATGAAGTCTCCTATTTAATGTGATGGAAGCACAGCCCCTCTCTCACTTTGCTCCTATTTCTTTCTGCTCTTGGGATTTTTGGTTTAGGAAGAGATGTGGTTCAGGTGCTAATGACAGTGTGTCTGATGATCCCATCTCTCCCACTCACATTTCAACCCCCGCCCTTGTTTGGAGCTATGGAAGGGCAAAAGGCTCAGATATGATTCTGTGTCTCTTGTGCCTGATGCTTGGAGCCTAAGGAGCTGTAGGGTCTGAGGGGCAGGGGAGGACCATATCTTGTTTCAGGTAAAGGACCCAGTGTTTCCTCTCCTTGTACTTTTGCCTTAGGTTCTGAAGGGACAATAGTCTTCATGTTGGATTCTCCAACAGGCTGGGTGCATGTATCTCCCTACTCTCACCCTCATCTCATCTTTAAGGCCCAGAGGTGGCTTGGACAAGCCCTCCTTTTCATAAACATTTGGGAGGGCTGGCTGTTATTCTTTAGCTTGCTTCACTTCAGTCTCCCGGATAAACTAAAATTTTTAGGTACCAGGCTGTGTGTCTGGGAATCTTAAGATCAATGGGCCTTTCCCCAATATCAAGTCTTCACAAATTCTAGTAGATTTCCACAGCAAAATCAGGGAGCCAGACCAACTCTGCATGTCCTGCCTAACCTACTCTCTAAGTCATTAGTGCTGAGGGCTTGGCTATAGGGGCTGCCTTAGGCTGAGAAGGCCCCCCCAGGCTGACATCTGTGTTGGCTTTTGTTCAAAACCATTATTCTGGCACACAATCAATAGTATATTGCAGGGGAGGACAGAAGTAGATTTAGATTCAAGTAAATGCCAATCACTCCACACATGAAGGTAGGTGGGGATTTTCCTTCCATTCTTCCCTTGCTCTCTTGGATCTGACCTCTTCTGTAGCCTCCGCTAAGTACAACTGCTAGCCACTCCTGTCCTGTGGATTATACAGGTGACCTTTCCACCCAAAAGAAAAGACATCAGGCTCCCCAATGTTTTCTCAGCTCTCCTTTCCACCAAAGCCAGGTTTTCTGGTAATGTCACTCAACATAAGGGATGGAGATGAGGGCTGACTGACAAAAAATTTTAGCCCCAGATCTCAGTCCCTGGCTGGGGAGGGGGGATATTTTCTTTCCTTCTTTAAGTAGTCTTACATTGCCACAGTATGTATGTGTTCATAATATAAAATATTCCTCTGCTCTTTGAAAGTGAGAGTGTTATATCTGTACAAATCCTTTTAACATGTGTTCATTGATGTAAATTCTGACTACTGTGTATTGGATAATACAAAAGATGTAATGTTATTTACTTTCTGGGTAGCTCTTCTTTGCTCTTATTCATTCTACTTTTCAAATGAGAAAGCCAGGCACCAAGGGCAATAATTTACCTAATTATCAAAATAATTTCTATTTATTTAGCACCTACTCCATGCCAGGTCCCTATGCAAGTTGCTTTATATAAATGATTGTATTTGATTTGCAAAACATCTTACAAGCTAAGTATTCTTATCACCATTTTCCAAAACAAACAAACAAAAAAGATACTGAACCTCCAAAAGTTAAAGAACTTTTTAAGAGTTAAACAGCTAGTGAGAGAAAATTTCAGGATTTGAAGCCAGCTTTGTCCAACTACAGAGCTCATTTTTTTCTACTTCTTCTCTGTAATCATTTTTAAGAAAACTTTCTCCCTTTTGGAATGGCTTGATGATGAGAGTGGTTGAAATAACTTTGGACCTGAAATCAAGAACTAGGTATCCAATGATTGACGCAGGGATATAAAGGCCTTGTTTCCTATAGGGATACAATAGGGAACAACTTTGAAGGGATATCCCAGCCGCTGAGTTTGCCATTAAGACTGCATCACAGATCAGCACCTTGCTTTGTCTAATCCTGTTTCTTTACCTCTCCTTCCCTTAGACAAGTGTTGATCCCAAGTACTCCCTAACTAATATCCTGTACACTAATTTGTCTCTGTGCTTGTCAGGGAATTCAACAGCTAAATAAAACCTCCCTGCGCCCCAGTGTTCTTATCTAGAAAATGGGGAAAATATTAGCACCTATTTCATGGGGTTGTGAGCAATGTGAGGCACATAGTAAACACTCATAAGTATTAACATCCTTTTATCCACTGTACCTCTGTGTTTAGGTAGCTTGGAACACCAGTCAAAAATTATACTACTCCTCTTTCCTGACATTACTCCACCACCCCAGGTTTTGTATACCTACAGGTCTGCTTTTGAAGTGGCTCAGGCTCACTCTGGGCAAAGGGAGGACACTTATCTGTGCACCTTGGAGTACACCTTAACCTGTATATGCCTTAAAGTACAAGAGGCATGGCCATAGCTCTGCATCCTTGGCACAATGGAGGTCAGGTCTATCAATTATGTTGTAGTGAAGATAACAGATTTTGAACTCTGAGCACCACCAGCCAGGCAAGCCAGTTCCTAAGGATACTTCTGAAGTAGAAGAGTATAATCATGTGTTGAGCATCTACACCTGCCAGCCATTTGGCAGGGCTCTACTATCTCATGTAGTCTTGCTGGTTCATTTATCTATTGCAGTGAAACAAACCACACAAAACTTAATGGCTTAAAAAAACCACCATTTATTTGCTCATGACTGCAGTTTGAGCAGAACTTGCTGGGGATGGCTAATTTCTGTTCTATGTGGTGTTGCCTCAGACAGCTGGCTAAGGCTGTAAATTCCAAGATGGCTGCACTCTCATCTGGCACCTCACCTGGGGTGGCTGGAACAAGAGTGGGCTGAATGTTCCAATCCGTACCCCAAACTTTGTAGACTTTCATCCTCCAGGGCGTCTCTCCATTTGGCATTATTCTTCAATACCTGGCAGCTGGCATCCAAGAGGGCGAAAACCAAAGCAGAATGACTTATCCTTCTCTTCCTTCTTCTCTGTCTCTCCTAACTCCCTTGTATTATTTTTTTTCACTATATGTTTGTTCTTTCTCTTCTTTTTGTTTTCTTTTTTTTAATTTTTTATTGCATTTTAGGTTTTGGGTTACATGTGCAGAATGTGCAAGACAGTTGCATAGGTACACACATGGCAGTGTGTTTGCTTCCTTTCTCCCCTTCACCCACATTTGTCATTTTTCCCCAGGCTATCCCTCCCCAGCTCCCCCCCACTGGCCCACCCCTTTTCCTCCCAATAGACCCCAGTGTTTAGTACTCCCCTCCCTGTGTCCATGTGTTCTCATTTTTCATCACCCGCCTATGAGTGAGAATATGCGGTATTTCATTTTCTGTTCTTGTGTCACTTCGCTGAGAATGATGTCCTCCAGATTCATCCATGTCCCTACAAACGACAGGAACTCATCATTTCTGATTGCTGCATAATATTCCATGGTGTATATGTGCCACATTTTCCCTGTCCAATCTATCATCGATGGGCATTTGGGTTGGTTCCAGGTCTTTGCTATTGTAAACAGTGCTGCAATGAACATTCGTGTGCATGTGTCCTTATAGTAGAATGATTTGTAGTCCTTTGGATATATACCCAGTAATGGGATTGCTGGGTCAAATGGAATTTCTATTTCTAAGGCCTTGAGGAATCGCCACACCGTCTTCCACAATGGTTGAACTAATTTACACTCCCACCAACAGTGTAAAAGTGTTCCTTTTTCTCCACATCCTCTCCAGCATCTGTTGTCTCCAGATTTTTTAATGATCGCCATTCTAACTGGCGTGAGATGGTATCTCAATGTGGTTTTGATTTGCATCTCTCTCATGACCAGTGACGATGAGCATTTTTTCATATGATTGTTGGCCTCATATATGTCTTCTTTTGTAAAGTGTCTGTTCATATCCTTTGCCCATTTTTGAATGTGCTTGTTTGTTCTTTTCCTGTAAATCTGTTTGAGTTCTTTGTAAATTCTGGATATCAGCCCTTTGTCAGATGGGTAAACTGCAAAAATTTTTTCCCATTCTGTTGGTTGCCAATTCACTCTAGTGACTGTTTCTTTTGCCGTGCAGAAGCTGTGGAGTTTGATTAGGTCCCATTTGTCTATTTTGGCTTTTGTTGCCAATGCTTTTGGTGTTTTGGTCATGAAGTCCTTGCCTACTTCTACGTCCTGGATGGTTTTGCCTAGATTTTCTTCTAGGGTTTTTATGGTGCCAGGTCTTATGTTTAAGTCTTTAATCCATCTGGAGTTAATTTTAGTGTAAGGTGTCAGGAAGGGGTCCAGTTTCTGCTTTCTGCACATGGCTAGCCAGTTTTCCCAACACCATGTATTGAACAGGGAATCCTTTCCCCATTGCTTGTTTTGTCAGGTTTATCAAAGATTGTATAGTTGTAGCTATGTTGTGTTGCCTCCGATGCCTCTGTTTTGTTCCATTGGTCTATATCTCTGTTTTGGGTCTCTTCTTTGCTTTATTCTCACTTAAGCAAGACTTGGGTTCACCTGCTGCACTGCACTTAGGCAAAAGAAACACAAAGACTTTTGAGGTAGACAGACTTGAGTCTGACCTGGCTTTGCCCCTTCCTACCTGTTTGTTGGGCAATTACTTTACCCTTTTTGAGCCTCATTTTTATCATCTGTAAAATTGGACCCATATAACACATATAAACAGCAAGATCTTTTGTGGCATAAAACCAGAAGTCATTTAGCAATACTGCCTCTGCACTTTATTGGTCGGAGTGAGTCACAGGGCCAGCTCATATTTAAGGAGTGAGGAAAATATACTCCATCTCTTGATAGGAGGAGCTGCATGGATGTCAGAGATGGGAAGAATTGTTGCCAGCCATATTACACTCCATCTACCACATTTTCTGACAACAGTGTTCTAAGGAAGGTGTTATTAGATTGGTGCAAAAGTTGTTGTGGTTTTTGCTATTAGTTTCAATGGCAGACACAACAATTACTTCGATACCAACCTAATATGTGTCCCTTTTTACAGATGATAAAACCGTGGCTCAGAAAGGGTGAAGTGGTTGCTTAAGAAACAACTAGGAAGGGGCAAAGTCAAGGCAGACTCAAGTCTGCCTACCTCGAAAGTCTGTGAATCTTTTGCTTAAGTGCAGTGCTGTAGGCGAACTCAAGACCTGGTTAAGGGAGAGTAAAGAAAGAAAGAAAGAGAAGGAACAAAAAATATAGTGAAAAAGAAGACAAGAGGGTTGGAAGAAAGAGAATAAGAAATAGAATAAGAATAAGAAATAGAAAGAGAATAAGAATAAGAAAGAGGAGGGTGAGTGAGGAAATTAACAAAAGTAAGGCAAGGTATCCTTTATATTTGCTTTACATTTAAAGCACTTTATATTTTATATTTATATTTTATATTTTATATTTATATTTATATTAAAGCACTTTCTTCAACATTTCCATTTCATGCTCACATTAATAACCTTGTTTTGTTGGTAGAGAATGTATTATTAACATCCACATTTTACAGATGTGGCCCAGATAAAGGAACCTACTTGCCCAACAAAGATTATGTAGCAAGTTATGAGCAAAGCCATAAGTAGAACCTAGGCCTTCCAAACTGAGAATCACCTAGGCTATAGCATTCTCTATATGCTTCACACAGCAGGGATTAATTGTATGCATGTTTTATGCCAGAGTTTGCTGAGTTTTACACTAAAGGTAGGAGCTCACTCCACAGGGAGAGGTCAGGTGATTTTAACGGTCTTGCTCTTAAAGTCCAGTTGCCTGTTATCATTATGCCCTCAGCCTTCCCAAAGCAACTAACAGCATCTTTACGATGATCAGCATATCCCAAGCTGAACATGGGGAAGGCTATTAACTCAAGGCCATGTACTGTTAGGTTAGTTACTTAACCTATCCAGGCCTCAAGGAGTCCTTTTCTTATGGCATTGTCATGAAGATTCAGTGAGCTAATACATGTTAAGCACCTAGAAGAGCACCTGAAAAACGTTCAATTAGTGGTAGTTATGAGGAAGATGTTGGTAATGGTGATTAGCTTCCTGAGAAGCCAAAGATGATGATGATCATGATGACTTACTCAGAATTCCAAATGTGCAAGGGTCAGGGGGTTCAATAAGTAAGGGGTTGTCCTTGTATAGGGCCTCCCATATAGGGCAAGCAGACAGCTAGGAGTTATGGTGCCTTTCCTGAAGATTGAGAAGACTCTGAGGCTCAGCTGCCCCCAGCCATTTAGCCTGTTTAATGGTTGTAAAGGACACAGGCCCTTCCTGAATGCTAAGTAAAATTACCTTTTTTCACTACATTCTGTTCTGCTTGTGGCTAGGAAGGGAAGACCATCCTTAAACAAGTACTCCCCCATCAGTGGTCTAGGCCCTCATGTACTTCAGTGGTTTCCATATTGCACAGTGCAGGG